CAAATAATTCATGACAGCACATAGTTCATTTTGGCTAGTAGAAAAAATCCAAAAGCCTAAAGAATTTGAGAAAATTAGATGTAAGGAAAAATTTACCTTTCTGTACCCTGCCAGATACACCTTTAATGGGTCAATGTAATCTTCAAAACCCAAAGTTGCCATAGCCTACAGCAAATCATCCCCATTAATCGTCTTTCGTTTCTCTTTCTGACACTCGTCGCTTGCCCTTGACATTTGAACCACCAAAACACTTTCAATTACAGACCTCAATAACATTATATTCACAACTTTCTTTTATATACTTGCATAAATTCACATCTAAACATGTAAATATACTTATATCTCTTGCAAATGCAAAAGATTAAAGTAAGCAAATTGATAAAAGAGTGAGATAACCTATGCATCATTACATATACATATAGAGTTTTGCTTGGAGTACATAGGAGATAACATAGGGGTTGACATAATACTCACATGGGGTGGGGCCCACTTTTAAAATGGGTCCCACCCCATGTGAGTATTATGTGTACCATTATGTAGAAAAATTATGTACAAGTAGCATTTTTGATACATATAATACAAGAGATAATATGTTGGAGTGTAACATAAGAGGAATATGTACATATAACAAGTTAGATTAGAGTTTTATAGGGACTATGAAATTTTTAGATATATTCTAGTTTATCGACATTGAAATTTATTGTATTTTTGAGGCCATTACTTTTTCTATCACTAACTCGTGCCTTATCGTATTCCAGTGAACAAAATAATTGTATTTGCATTAGTAAAATGTTTTTCCTTCGTCACATTGTTTACAACATTTCACGAGAGTACCGAGTTTCAATACTCCAAGATTACCATAAATTTATCTCGTTTTCTTATGCTCGAAACTAACGATTTCTATAATATGATAAACGAAATCGTTAATTTTTCTTCTTCATGAATTTGCATATCACTGAATTATCTCCCTCTCTCTATGTATCTATATATCTATATGTATTTATGTATCTTTGTGTGAATCTTAGATCATATAGCACGTGTTAGTAAATAGGACTCCAATCAATGATTTCCGGGCTCAATTCACCAACCAATCAACACCACAAGTAACGACCCAATCCAAAACCACAACTCCCAACTCAACCGGTTGCTCCAACTAAAGTCAGCTCACAAAGGACTCGGTGTGAAGAAGATAACAACTCAAATGAATCAACCACCAATGCTAAGGAAGAAGAGAAAAAAGGGGATCACCAAGAGGGGCACAAAGCCAACAGGGAACCAGTTTATCTTCTACAAAAAAAAAAAAAACGACTGCTCACTTTTCACACACAATCAACAGTAATGGACTAGGGCTTAAATAGTTTAGGTTTAAGTGTGAGCTTTTAGGTCAAATGATAGTCCCAAATATGAAGGAGATAAGTGGGCTAACACCTTAAAGCCATCCAAGTCATATGGGTTGGGCCATGAGTAGCACTAATATAATTAGGTTGTTTCAAATGTAGGTTAGGCTTTTAGGTTAAACAAACAGGGCCCAATAACAAAGGGAGAAGTGGGCTAACACCTTAAAGCCATCCAAGTCATTTGGGTCGGACCATGAGCAACATTAGTTTAATTAGGCTACTTCAAATGGCCTGAGTAGGTTATAAGATTCGTCTCACTAATTGTGGTGTCGATATACAACTTCAGTAATCGGCCGAAGCCTATGAAGTATAATCCAACAAACAAAATCGGTTTACATCATCGCCTAGATTATTGGGTATCAAAAAACCCAACAACGTGTACTTGTTTCAATGTTCAATTTTTCTATAACTTCATTAGTTGGGTTTGATTTTTCCTTCACTTCTTTAGCAAGATCATATGGCCTGTTACCCCATTTTTCATCATATCATTCACAAGATTAGACAACATTTGGCCCATAAGTAAAGTAGTAAACAATTAATTTTAATAACATATTTTACAGAACCCATAACTTCTCAATCACACATTTCATCCAATTTTATCAAAATTTATTAAAAATCTGATTTTAATTCTCACCAAACGGGGCTAACTGTATTTGATTTTTCCTTACCTCACTCAAATTCATGCCATGCTTCACTTTTTTCATCCATTCTTGATTTTCTGAATTCTCAATCAAAATCCTTTTGGAAACTCTCCTCTTAATTATTTTCTTCACCACCCTGAGCACCCTCAGTGGTCTTCTTCACACTTCACTATCTCTATCTTCCTATTTCCATTTCCAGGACCTACCTCCAGTCACTATATATTTGGACACAACCAAAACAACCCTACTCTACACAAGGAAAAGTGGAAAATATATATATAAAATATCTGTAGGGTCAAGTGACCCGACTTGGCACCACCTAAATTTATATTATTGCCTGCTTGATGAGGATTAAAATCGGATTTTAATAAAAATTGATGAAAAGTGTGATTAATTTTTTTTTTGATTTCTTATAATTAAAATTATTTGTTGATTTTGATTTAAATTTAAATTTTCACATGTGGATTGCCAAATCAAACGATTCTAGAATCATGATGTATCCTTTCATAAGTTTACACTTGGTTGGCCTGTCATAGTCAATATGAAAAAGGCTGAATGTACAGCATTTTTACACAGTAAGTTTGACAGCCCTCTTAATAGGTGTGGGGCCCGCGAGTGTGGGCCACACCCCCCATGTGAGAGAGCTGTCAAAATGTATGTGTAAAAAGGCTATAGATGTAACATTTCTCTAGTCAATATAGTATGCCTCTCCATTTTCCCACGATTTATTTGTGTCCAACATTTATAGCCCAAGGCTCTATTCTATTAAAAATACGTTTTTCCCTCCCTTCTTTTTAATCAATATCTTCAACAAAATAATATTATCCATAAATTCAAAAAATTTTTAACCACATATTCTTGAAAAAAAACACGATTCCAAAATAGATTGTGAAAATTATTATTATTATTATTTTAGTGTGCTTGAGGTAGATTTCTGAGATCGTAAAAATTATTTTTTTAAAGAATGTATAATTAAAAATAAGAAAAAATATTCGATTGGTGTGTAAAAAAAAATTAAAGAATATGTATCAAACGTGGTATAATTTCTACCATTGCCACCACCAATTTGAACAAGTATCACGTTCACACTTAACCGTGTTTAACTATTTGGGAAGACATTGAAGCACTTGTTGAAGGGCGAAAACTCCTCTCTTTGATCTTTGAAAAGTAAAAAAGTGATTTTTGAGATTTTTGACTTCAAGAGCTTCTGAAACCATTGATCCAAGATAGATTCATTAAGAAAGCCTCCGTTTAGTACACATTCTTTTAAAATATAATAGTTTTTCAAAATTTATTTTCAACCACATGTTCTTTAATAAAATAATATTTTTCATCACATCAATAATTTTTAATTACTTTTTAACCACATATTTCTCACCATATCATTATTTAAAATACATTTTTTCCTCAATAATATTCATCAAACACATCCAAATTTATAAATAATAGAAGCAAAGGCCATCCTATACTGTTATTTAGCCTTCGTGTTAACAATTAGACTAATTGCATTTTCAATAGTACTCTTTATTTTACCGATTGCCTTTTTATCATAAAGAGTATCTTCAAGAATAATTAAAAATAAAGAGTATTTTTTTTTTGTACAAGTCCGATAATATTTTTTTACTTTTATTATGATTAACTAATTTTCCTCATTCTCTCGTGTTCTTATTGTCATTTTTCCTTTATTTTGATATATATATATATAAGAAATTGTAAATATCATAAATCAACGAGGAGCTACCTAAATAATCAGTCTAAGAATATAACTTAAGTCCTTTTTTGACCATCATTTTTTAAAATTCAGTTTTTTTCTTAAACTAATTTTTAACCACATATTTCATAAGATCCACAATTTTTATCAATTTTTTAGAATAATGTTATTTGTAATCACTCATTAAAATAGTTGTCTTACGAGTTATATTGTTTCGCGCGTTTACTCGCTAACAATTAAAAAGGAATCAGACGATTGTCTAAGGGACAAATCTCTTGAAACAAAGTCTCAAAAAAGGGTGTTTATGGAATATGAAAATTACAGTTTGGACACGAACAAGATGCCTCCAAGGAGCGCAAGCACACAAGTATAAGGGAATTGAAATAATTAAAATTAATTTAAGAAAAGGTAAATTACATATTCTCTGTTTGAAAGTGAATTTTGTCGGGACTTATTTTCGTTGTCTTCTTCTTTCTTTTATACGGCTTGAGCAGTTTTTAATCGTTTAGAAACTGTTTGTAACTACCCATTTCTTTCATAATGGCCGACTGGCCAATAACTACTGTGTGTAACTCCTATCACCACATTTTCTTCATAACTGCTCGTCACCAACTTTCTCAAATTGTGGGGCGTAATTAAGATGTTCTCAAACTGCCTTAAATTGTGACTTTAGATAACAACAAACTTTAATCATCGCTGAGACTCTGGGCGACTCAACATTTTAAGGCGACAATTGGTCTTCCGTTCTGGACGATTATAGGATACTTCATTCACTCAACATCTGGGCGTTCTGCAGGCTTGGGCGATGACGTACCTTTATTTTTGAGCTTTCATCATATTTAATGACATTCTTGGTTGGGCTTTTACCCTGATCTCTCTAAATGGACTTCTTCTCTTGGGTCATTTCCTTTCTTGGGTCATTTGAATTGGACTGTATATTTTGTGTGTCAACATATATATATATGTGATGGTTGATAAATTGATGTATGAGACAATAAAAAATTATCACATTAATGTATCAAATTACTAACAAACACATGCATATCACATAGGGTGACTACGGTAATGAACAACTGCAAATAACATTTCTCATTTTTTAACCATATATTTCACCATTTTTTTATCAAAATTATTAAAAATTTGATTTTTAAATAAATCAAACAAGACGACAAAATTTTCACACTAGTAGTTGCACATTTAAAGCTTAACAGGGCACAATAATTCAAACCCCTACAGTTCAATAGAGAGCCATCAGCCCAGCAAATTCAAGAAGCACAACAGCGACAGGTCATAGGGCTTCCTCATAATGCAGATGCACTGCACCTCTTTTCTCTTTCGAACACAGTTAATTTTAAGGCAAAGCCGAGGATCACGGAGATTACTTCAGACAGCAACACAAATTAGGGTTAACCCCACCCATAAACTAGCTACACGAGGGCATTCAGAGGACAGGACACAAGTGGACCATTCTGGCTATGGACAAAACATAAAATCAGCAATACTAGGATGCTCTTTTAACTTTACGGGATAAACAGTAAGCTATTCAACTTCCAAATAGTAAGAAGATTGCAAAGAAGCACTCTTTAAACTTGTCTGTTTCAGAATGGGACTTCACAGATTTTGCCCCTTTAGATAAAAATAAAAATTTTAATAAATTTTGATAAATGTTGATATAATGCGCTATTGAAAGGTTGTATATTCCATAAAATGTTTGTTTATAATTAATTGTTGACTTTAACATAAATTTTAATCCGATTTTCAAGCCAAATAGGGACTTGGTGGTTCAAATAAAAGTCAATAAAAATTTAAGTTAAAGTCAACAATTAATTTAACCACATATTTCTCGGCTGTTATCAACTTTCAACCACAAAATTCATCAACTTTTATAAAATTTACTAAAAATCTGATTTTTAGCCCGAGATATCCTCTACAGTAACAATTTGTTCAAATGTTGCAAACCTCATTACAGAAAGTGCAAAGAAGGAAAGCTTGTCCCAGTGATGATACAGAAAGCATACACACAGAGTAGCAAGCAGTGATATTATACAGTAGAGTTTTAAAATGTTTTGCAAAAGAAAATAAAATGCCTGGTTATGAAGAATGAAAATCGAAATTGTTTAAAAGCCTCATTATTCTTCTGCCAACCATCCCGAATACGAAAGTAGATAAGGTTTTTGATTTTTTTGTAATCTAACCGCTGTTATATATTTCACCCTCTGCAGTTATAATGAGCCGTGTTCTCAATATTGGCCACTTACGGCAGATAACAATGCGGGGATTTTGTTGCATTCGAGGTTTGCAGTTGATGAACAGCAGCGAAGGAAGTAGAGACAGTTGAATTAGCGAATCCTGATGATGCTGCAGTAGAAAAGAGTATCTGTGGAGGAACCCCGTTGAAGTGGCTTTGCATTGGCAATGCCCAGTTTGCAGATGAATTGACTGTCATACTCGTCCCTATTGCCTTTCCCTGCAAAATTCAAAATTCAGGGTCATTGTCCCTTGTAATAAAAGTTAAAGAGGTGGGGATTTAGCCATTCCAGTCAATGATCAGAAAAATATAATTCACTACTTTAAACAATTTATGGATACAAAACTTCAATTTGTTAGATAGAAAATGCTCTGATCAAAAGTAATCACAACGATAGCAAAAGAAGCCTTATTCTTCTTTTGTGCTAATTTTAAACTATGTAGTTGTTGATTGAAATGTCGACCCAGATTTGAGTGTGGCAATGATGAAGATCAACGGTGGTGGTAAGTGAGAGCTAAATCAGTAAGTTTAGCAAAATATGCTAGTATGTGTAGTGGAAATCCCATCAGCTACTACATCTCCATTAGACATCGCAAGAAAAATAGAAATCAGATTGCAGAAATGAATGGATGAATTACCTGGAAGTAAGACCAATAACGATATTAAGATCACAAAGGGTGAATGCGATATATTACTTTGTACACTGGAACAACAGAAGACAATAGACAGAAGAGATTCACCTTATAAATGGGATAAAAACCGGAATTCAATCCATTCCCGACGAAAGGGGATCCACCGACATTTATATGATCATGCAGTAATACAGTTCCGTCTGAGGCTGAAGCAGGGTACTGCATTTGTCAGAAAACTAGTGCAGTTTACCAGGTTTTTCAAAAAATGTGTTTGTATTCAAAGGACTAGCTCGGAAACATCACATTTCAATTGACAGCAGGTGACGATAAACAAAACCCTAAATCAAATTACCCATGCTCCATTTTCAGGCAGGCCCACTGAGCCACTGTGGATCTGCAAGCTTTTAGCATCAATGTTCATATTCTGGCCATCAGCAAGATGAGGGGGAGCAATGCCCAAGTTAAGATCCAAATTATGGTTTCTGCCTGATAGATGTATAGAAAATCATTATATGCGAATATATAACTAGAAAGGAGTAAATTTTGTGAAATATGCAATTCCCAAAATATTCACCTCCATTATCAGTTTCACAGTTTATCCCCTCTTCGTATGTGTTAGGCTCAAAATTGGTGACAGCTTCCTTTCCATTGGATTTTATAGCAGCCTTATCATACGCCCTAATTAACATCAATAGAAAGTTTATAGTGCTAATTTAGTACTGTAAATATTTGTGGTGCATTCATATGAATGGAAGAACGTGGGGACATTTTGTGCATAGATACCTTGCAGCTTCTATTTCACTGTCAAACAATCCAAGATAGATATATCTGCAGGTAAATATCATGTGCTAACAATAAGTAATGTTCTGCTTAGCTAAAACCTTTTTAGTACTATAGAAGGACCAATTGACTGCTACATCTATAATTAACAGATCATATAGTTAATTAGAAATTACGGTGGTAACATCATACTTCTTGCCAAGAAGCTGGCCCAATCGAGCTTCCCATCGTCCACATTTGTGTAATGTAACCCCTCTGTACTTTGAACTTCCTCTAGAGAAGCCCGTACTCTGGCGACGAAGTATGTGCACAAACTCTTCCTTGGGCAAATTCATTATCTGCAGAGTAAAAACAGTGAAAGTCATCCCCAATAAAAGTAGTTCTTTAGAAAACAACAGGGTCAAGAGGAAAAAGGCTGAACTCAAGAACAATTCTAACCAACCTGCCTAAGTTCTTCTTCATAATCACTGACATTGAAATTGATATCAGCATTAAGTCCACGAAACTTAATTGCAGCACGATCATATGCCCTGGAGTTAAAATTCAATCGTACACATAAATATCACCATGCTGTCAACTAAAATGCTCTTAACTTATTGAACTAATGTTAACTCTCAATCAACGAAAAGATCTTACTTAGCCGCAGCATGTGCAGTGTCAAATCCTCCTATGAGTTGAAGTTTCATTTGGGCATCACAAAAATGTCAGCAACACTTTATAAATCAATGCTTCAACAATCACTAGTACACAATAGGAAATCATACACAGAGTAAAAGTTTTAGCTCCTTACCCAAATAAACTTGTTTTCCACAATCCCTGCAAAAGTGACGTGTAAAAGCATTTTAAAATATACATTAAAGATATTTGATTGCGAGTAAAATCCAAAAAAGGCTGTGACAACTGACAATCGAGAGCAGAGTATGTACCAAACTCCTACCCAGCTGTATCCATAAATGAACTCTCAACACTTGACAACCAATATGTAAGGTGTAATCTAAATGCGATATTATCATTCAGTTTGATTCTTATAATTATATAACTAACAATAATGCATCAACTAAAGCAAGAAGCTATGACGTTATGAACATTTAACCTAGCTGATTACACTAACCAAATGTGAGACTCCCATCGACCGGTCCTGCGATAAAATGTGACTCCACGGTATTGAGAGCTGCGAGACCTCGGTCCTCTACGACTCTTCTTAATCGGCTGAGATATTGTCCTTTGAGCCGCTACTCCACCATTCCCTGAAACGTCGGACCAGTGACAATGCCGTGCTACCGCTGTCCCTTCGGCGGTCACAGGGAAAAGCTCCTTCGTCACAGAAACGCCACTCTCTTCGTAATCACCATTCCCCTTCCATATATCGAAACCGATGAATTGGTTATCACAAGAGTCCCCGTCACCGGCACTGCTGGTTGTATCCACGTTGGCAGCAGAGGAATTATAACTGCCGGCATTCTCCATCTGACTCCCGGAGCTATCTAGATGCTTTTCCAACACCGTTTCCCCTAAATTGGTGATCGATTCGCTAACATCACTAGTCAAATTAAGGTCCAACATCACTCAGCTCCTCGAATATCAACCTGATTTTACAATTATTTTCACACTACTCTATGCACCTACCTGTTCATATATACACAATAAATTAGCTTGAATCATAATCTAGATAGAGAAAGGAAATGAAAAATAGAAAAGGGGGAAGAAATGGCGAAGAAGAAAAGAATGTCTATACATATAAAAACACGTAAAGGTTGTATCTATACGTATATGTTAGAAGTTACAACAGAGTTAAGAATTTGCAGCTTTCTCTCTCTCATTAGCAGAGAAAGGGGTAAATCCATGGCCAGCTATATATAAAAATAACGCTCGGATTTAAACCGAGAGAGAGAGCTAGAAGAGCTCTCTAGAAAGAGAAAAAGAGAAACGTTTATGGCGTGTGAGGATATGATGCCAATTACCAGATGAAAATGCCGGAGAGGAGAGAGAAAATGTGAGTGGAGAAAGGAAGTGTGAGTACTAACTAATCTATGGTGGCGCGTGGGTGACATGATTTAAGAGTGGTAATTGGGAATAGTGTGAGTGTGGGGAGTAAAGGTGAGGACTGCAGCAAATTGTGTAGAATAGGAAAGAATACACGCGCTGCGATTGGCGTGGGACATTAATTGTTTACTGTGGGAAATTCCAGAAACAATTTTACCAACGAAAATCTAGTTAGCTGTTTGGTAACGAAAATCTAGTCATCAATAATTTAACATCTGTTTATCTACCATTATTCCAAAAAATTATTTGCTACAATAAAATTCTTCACCACACATTTATCCAATAAAATATTCTACACACAAACCAACAAAGTTAATTTACTTTTCAATCACACATTCTTCAAAAAAAATATTATTTATTACTCTATTTTTCTCTCAATAATGAGAATCGCATTTTTTTAGCCACTTATTTCACTAATTTTTATTAAAATTTAATAAAAATCTGATTTTAAATTTCACCAATTAACTTATAAAAATCTCAAATTCAAGTCAACAATTAATTTGAAACACATATTTTATTAGATACACAATTTTTCAACGTCATATTTAATCAATTTTTTTCTTCAAAATTTATTAAAAATTTAATTTTAATCCATACCAACATTGACTTAATATAATTATCCTATATTTGGTGTGAATTAAAATCAGATTTTGCCCCCCGAGACCTAGCTCAGTGATGCAAATGACATGAATAATGTACTCTCAGTTGAGTTGGTAGCCGCAGTGTGAGTGTTCGATTTCTGATTCTTACAAGGTATGAAATTAGACTCTTTGTGGACACCAGTATGGCAGCTATTGTACCCTGACATTTTGAGTCACATCCCACGATTTACCCCATCCACAATGTTCTAGGGGGCGGTGGGTGGCCCTCAAGGTTGTGGTTCAACCTTTTTTTTTTAAATCAGATTTTTAATAAATTTTGATAAAAATTAATGAAATGTGTTATTGAAAAGTTGTGGATTCCATAAATATTTGGTTAAAATTGATTATTGATTTCGACTTAAATCAAAATCTAGATTCAAATCACTGCCAAGATATCAAATAGAGACAAACTTTAATCTGATCAAAATATTCTATAGCAAAGTGTATTATTGGTTTTAACGAATATGTTGCAAAATTTATAAGAGATAATGAAATTGGAAATTTTCTATAGTAATTATAATTTAAAAAATTTCGCTATTTAACTTTGCCTATGTTAAATCAAATATAATTAATTAATAATTCATTTTCTTTCCACATCAATTTCACTCTTACAATCAAACGATCCTAAAAGTATTCCTCGAATATAAGCTTTGGATCCGTTGCTCTTTTTTAAAAAAAAATTTCTGTACAAAGACTTTTCCTCGCGCTACACCTTCATCGTACATCATTTTTCTATTGCAGTTGTACTCTTTTTCTCCTCTCAAAAATTAAAGTAATTTCAACTTGCAAATAACTCGTACCTGACAACTTTTTTAGCCAAATAAAATAACTAAGCATAAGCTTCCCATTTTGCCCTTCCACGTGCTCATATTTGTTTTCTTCTTCATTTTTATTTGGACAATAATAAATTGTTTTAATTAAAAAAAATTTTAAAACTTTTTTTACATAGAGATTTTATCTTAACGTGTTTTTGTGAATTTTGATTTATTATAAAAAATGAATAATTAAAATTGATATATTACAAAAATGAACTTAAAAGAAATATGAGCTACAAACTTTTGATGACGATTTTATTGAAAACGTTAATTTGGTATGTTAATTTCACAAACGGTCACTGAACTTACACAAAAATAACAAAACGGTAACTGAAGTTCAAAACTTGCAGAAATGATCACTGAAATTTCATACGCTTTCACAAACGATTGCTGGAGGACCGTCATGCCTTTAATTCAAACATAAAGGACCAAAGTGAGCACAGCTAGATTTTGGACAGCTTGGGGGTCCCAACTTTGAACCACCATAACTCCGTCCTCCAACCACCATTTTTCAAGGACCAATATACCATATTGAAGCCTTTAATATCCTCTTAACAATCCACCCAACCACTGGCCGTGATCCTACCGAAATTGGCCAAAAAATAGTGCCAAGTAAGCTACTAGGATTTTGGATAGTTTAGAGGTGCCAACTTTGGACCACCATAACTCCGTTCTCCGGCCACCTTTTTCCACGGACCAATATACCATATTGAAGCCCTCAATGCCCTCTTCAAAACCCACCTAACCACCGACCCTAGTCCAGTCTGAATTGGCCGAAAAAAGGAGCCAAAGTAGGCTACCCACGCACAGCCGAATTTTGGACAGCAAGCTATGCGTGGGTAGCCCACTTTGGCTCCTTGTTTCGGCCAATTCCGATGGGATCACGGCTAGTGGCTGGGTGTGTTTTGAAGAGGACATTGAGGGCTTCAATATGGTATATTGGTTCGTGGAAAAAGGTGGCCGGAGAACGGAGTTATGGTAGTCCAAAGTTGGCACCTCTAAGCTGTCCAAAATCCTGGTAACTCACTTGGCGCTATTTTTTGGCCAATTTCGATAGGATCACGACCAGTGGTTGGGTGGATTGTTAAGAGGATATTAAGGGCTTCAATATGGTATATTGGTCCGTGAAAAAGGTGGCCGAATGACGGAGTTATGGTGGTCCAAAGTGGCACCTCAAGTTGTCCAAAATTCGGATATGCTTACTTTGGTTCTTTATGTTTGAATTAAAGGCATAACGGTCCTCCAGTGACCTTTTGTGAAAGCATATGAAACTCCAGTGACCGTTTGTGAAAACACATGAAACTTCAGTGACCGTTTTTTTATTTTTGCGTAATTTCAGTGACCGTTTGTGAAATTAACCCTTAATTTAGTTTTCTAATATCAATATGAAAAATTGGAGCAAATGGTCCCAAACTTTTGCTCTTTCAAACATTTCAAATGCGACACAAATGGTCCTAAACTTTTTACTTTTTGTACAAATGGTCATTTTGGTAGGAGTCCATCCAAAAGGGAGTTAATACCCTAAATAGTTACCGAACTTTGTCAAAAGTTCCCAAGAGGTCACCGAACTTCGAAATTTCTCTAATTAGTCACTGAACTTTGCAAAAAGTTCATAAGAGGTCACTGAACTTCAAACTACCTTAAATAGTCACTGAACTTTGCTAAAACTTTCTAGAAGGTCACCGAACTTTGCAAATTGTGATCCCATACATCAATAATTTAGTGACCCCCTAGGAATTTTTTGTAAAGTTGAGTGACTAATTATGGTAGTTTTGAAAAAGTTCAGTGACTATTTAGGATAGTTTCGAAATTCAGTGACCTCCTAGAAACTTTTTGCGAAGTTCAATGACTAATTAGGGAAGTTTTAAAATTCAGTGACCTTCTGAAAATTTTTAGTAAAGTTTAGTGACTATTTAGGGCATTAACCCTCCAAAAGGGCTATTAGTTTTGTGTGTATAATGCAGTTGCCCTTAATATGTTTTAATTTCGAGAGACAATTTGATGAAACCATATGTTGAAATAAAATCTAAGGACAATTGCATTGCATGTACAAAACTAACGGCCTTTTTAGATTGAATTCGTCAAAAAGTTTGCACAAAAATTGAAAAAAATTTGGTATCATTTGCATCAAATTTTGAAAGGTATTAAGGATTAGCCCGAATCCCAAATTACTCTAAATTTTTCCCAAAAAAAAAAAAAAATCGAGACCGTGAATCAATGGGGTTGTCCCCTTGTACCCTCTCCCGTCCCCGCTCCACAAGTAAAGAACTTGTCTTCAAACCTAAAGTTCGTTCCTGCAATAAATGTAAATATAGTGTCAAAAACAAGAGTTAAAAGCCAAAAATATAATAAATAATAAATTCCGCAATATAAAAGTACGATAATTCTCTTAATGACACATCATTAACATACTCGAAAGTCACTCATAGATTCCTTAATCAATCTATTTTGTACATAAGTTGGTCACGTAGATTATAGTACATTAATTTATTAAACTGCAGATTTCCTCTTCTTGGCATGTCCCGTCAACTTAGCTAAAGTTTAATAATGTCCATTCACATCATCTTTGCTTTATTAAGGATATATATATAATTGAAATTTGACAATGAACATGAAAAAGTAAAAGTTTGTGCCGACAGAATAGTTCATGTAACAATGTGATTTTTCTTTATCTTTTGGTGAGAAAATTTTCATTGATTACATTTGTTAAGGTCCCGTTTGACAAGATTTGATCAGTCAAAAGAAATTTTTGAGATCGAAAAATCGTTTTTTAACCCGTTGATTAATTTTATAAAAGAGTTTCTTCAAATTAGAATAGCATTCATAGAAAATTGACTGAATATGACTTCATCTGAAAAAAATAAAATTAGGAATTAGTTTCTAACTCAAATTAAGGTAGCTTTCTCATAAACTCTTCTACAAGAAATAAAAGTAAAAGTGTGCTAAATAGACTATTATAATATTAATGTGAATTGTAAAATCGAAAAAATCATCGAGTTTTTTGTACGAAATTGAACTCGAAGACTTTACGCTAAAAAGAAAGCTGACCCAATACAATTTCATA